CCCAAGTTCATTTCCTTTCGCTTGTGCTTAAGGTAGTTCTTGAAATCCTTCCAAGCCGGCGGCAATAAATGGATAATTGACGCCACTTGGAAAGACTCGCTAACCGTCATTCCTTCATCTCGAATTTCGTTGAAGATCATTTGCATTTCTTCAACTTGACTCAAGACCGTCTACGAATCCACCATTTTAAAATCAAGGAATAGACCGACAACAAATTTCTTTGCACCGGCATCCTCGCTCTTATATTTGTGGTCCAAAGCATTCCATAGCTCCTTAGTCGTAGCTAATTTACTATACACGTTGTACAGAGCATCATGCAGCCTGTTCAACACGTAGTTTCGGCAAAGGAAGTCAGAATGCTTCCAAGCCTCAACCGCGTTGAAAGATTGCGCATCCACCTCACCCCCGGTTACTACCGGCGCATCCTCGGTCAAGAAACGTGCAAGACCGAGAGTAGTGAGATAGAAGAGCATCTTTTGTTGTCACCTCTTGAAGTTTAACCCATTAAATTTTCCGGGTTTCTCCACAGAGTTGCTCGGCACGGTCACCATAGGGATAGCCCTTTGGTTAACCAAAGCAGATGCACCGCGTTGTGAACTATTGTTCACCGGAGCTCCGCTTTCAGAGTGATTATCGTTCAAACCGTTCAAAGCATTCTGCCCAACAACATTTTCATTTTCTTGAGAAGTCATTTTTCGTTTCTTACGTTATTCGAAAGCACAAAAAACAAGTTCGTTCACTAAGGTGACAAAGTACAAGTTTTAAGATTGTTTACCGTAGTAGAACAATCACCGAATACGTTTTAAGATTGTTGGGTGTGTTTCGAAAAACAAAGAAAATTAATTAATAACGATTAATTAAATAAAATGACTTAAAGAAAAATAAGAAATGAGATGAAGCAGATTAATTAAAATTTCCTTAAAACGTATTCGTTGCCTCCCGGGGTGCTAGGAGCGTTGCAACGATCGTTTCCCAGAATACGATGACTTCGAACAATAGTTTAGCACTCAAACTAAAGTTCAAACGAACGTGAACAAAAGCAGAACACCGAAGGAGTTTGTATGGAGTGCTAGATGTGCTGTTTCAGCTATGAAAATACGTGAACGAAGTGTATGCAAGGTTGTATCTTTGCAAAGCACCTGCGCGCGTGAGAGAGCTTTTCCCTTTAGGAATCTTAACTCCTTAGGGGGGGTTTCCCTTTATAAAGGGTTCAAATTCCCTTGTGATTTTCGGTGTGGGAAAGAACCCACACTAAAACCCACATTTTCCTGGTTTTCTCCATTCCAACGGGTAAACTTCGAAAAACAATTTCACATTCACCCGTTATCCGTTTTGAGTGTACCATATATCGAATTGTAGCCCTTAGCAAGGACAATCCGAAACCACTTTGACCCGACCCAAATCGGAAGTGGACCCCACTCAAATAATTGCCCCAACAAGACCATTTAATGCAATTTTTAACACATTTTTCCAACAAATACTAGTAGGTTAATCTTAGAACATATCAAGTTCTTAATTCAAATTGGCATTTCTTTTCAATTGATTTTCCAATCCAAATATAATTTGATCCCAATATAAAAAATATCACTTTTATCAATTCATGAATTTCATACATGAAGTAAAAGTATATTTTATCACAATATTTACATAGTTAATTCCATTACCATGTCATTCCTTTCATGCCACATTATCATACACAATTTATTCTAAATTTGTATATCATGCTCCTTTACTCATATCAATAGTATTTTCATTTAAGCATTATTACTCATTAATAACCCATGAAAATCACTTTTAATACTTTAGGAAATCTTATGAAATTAACTCACTAATTATAAGCAATATAGTCAGTCATCCTCATCTTATGATGTGCTCAACTAGATGCCTTTACGAAGCCCTTCGATAAATCCCCGTTTTTGGCCGATTGAAACAAAAATTCTGGGCAGTAGCTGAAAGCCGCCTGGCTTTCGCCAAAAGTCGCCCGGCGTTCGTGTGCTGCAGGTTCGAGCAGCCTGCTATACTTAGCGGTTTCCGGCGATTTCGACTCCTATCGATTCACCAACACTTCTAAACTAAATACAATTACTATACATCAATATTCTACACTTTTAAACGTGTAGAACTCATGATTTAATCCACCATATGATTTCTAAAAAAATCATACAACAAAACTAGCGAAAAAGAATAGTTGTAGAGTTATTACCTTTCTTTCTTGCTAGTTTTTCTTGGGTTTGCTATTCCTTCTTCCTCCTCCAGAGTTTCTGATTTTTGAGAGCTCTTTCCAGACCCCCCTTATCCCTCTAATCTGCTCGTATGGTGCAAATGAAAGGGAGGAAATATCTTCCCAACAACTAGCTCAATAATAGGGAGTGTAGGACCTTTAGGATGTTTACAAGAACCTTCTCTCACCCCTCCCTCCATATGTCCGCACATGGCATTAAGGTTTGTCTCCAATTAATTATTTGGAGACCACAAATTGTGTAGGAAAAATCCAAGTGGGTGTAGAATGTCCTTTCCGATTATCCCCGCTATTTCTGTCAGGTTGGGTCAAAATAGCACTTCGGTTGTCCAAATATTTTTTCCCAACTTCGGTTGGCATTTTATTGGACTTCCATAATTATCATGACAACCCAACTAAATATTTGGTAGCTCATTCTCAATATTATGGGCCCGATAAATAATTTAATTAATCATTCATTAATTAAATCCATCACTTTTATACATGAAATTATTCGCTAGGAAAATTCAAATACATATCGAATTTCAAATTCAAGTACATCCGGGTGCGATGTCACAAATGTGCCTTGTTTCCTCCCCGTTTTTCTTGTCGACACCGGATAGGCCCCGCCATCGTTGGCCTCTCTCCTTGCCGGACTCCTGAGATGAAATTCCAGTGAAGATGGATGGCGTGAAGAGGAAAGACCTGCGCTAGGTCAAGGTTGTTGGCCTCCTACTCAATGAGTCAAAGGATCCTATTCTAGTCTCTACACAGGCCCATTATCTCAAACGGTCCAATTTCTTCATCAGCCCACAATGCTTCAGTCCATATATGAGCTAAGTGCCCAATACTCCTATTTATGCACTTAAAATATTTATTAAATGATAGTAGTATAATTATTACTATTATTAATTATATTATTTCCACCACCATTATGGTGGGTTAAAAAACCCCGAGGTGGTGAAGACCATTATGACGGATTAAAATTTCCCGAGGTCGCTAATGATGCATCATTATTGGCGTTATTATTTTTATCATCACCATTAGAGCGGGTTAAAAAAACCCAGAGCGGTGAACCCGAGCTCTAGTCTACCGAACATCTTTATTTGATGATTCAGATTATTTTTAGATCTATCGACCTACCCTAGTCACCTTTATTTGGTGACTCGGACATCTAAAATTGAGAGCCGCTATTGGCCGCACACGACATTATTATGCTTAAAAGCGGTAAACGGTACACCTTAGTCTAAGATACCGCATATTACATCGACCCCTCAGAGCGAAATGCTCAGGAAAGGTTGACAGAGCACATCGTTTTGGCCCCTTAGAGCGAGACGCTCAGGTAAGGCTGACGGTGTCCCCAGGACGAGTGGCCCACAAAGAGCCCATGTCTTGAAATGGGTAGCTCACCGCGTCGTCCATTCGCGAAATCGCACGATGACAGGTCTGAAATCATGGTCGAGGTGACAAAAATCCCCAAACTCAGGGATGAGAAACGGCAACCGTCGGTAACCGACAAAAAGCCTTAGCCCGCGTCATAAATAGGCGACGGGACCTCCCTGAGACCATAGGACGATCCAGTAGGACTCCTTACCGGTCGAAGGACTATCGACCCCCTCGGCAGAAGCCTGAAAGAAGGATACTCACTCCTCGCTCAAAGAAGTAAAGAGGAAGAATATAAAAGAGGGACAGCCGAGTGACCGTGCATTTGCCCGCCTAAAGCAATATCCCCCAAAAATAAAAGAGGGACAGTCGAAGGACCGCGCATTTGTCGGCCTAAAGTGATATCCCCACAAATCAAAGGAGGGAAGCCGAGGACCGCGCACTCGCCGGCCTCGAGCGATAAAAAATAAAATCACCAAAATTTGACTAAATACATATCAGACGAGCGCCCAGCATCGTCCCTCATCTCAGACGTGCGCCCAGCATCGTCCATCATCTCAGACGAGCGCCCAGCGCCGTCCATCATCTCAGACGAGCGCCCAATGTCGTCCATCATCTTAGACGAGCGCCAGCGTCGTCCCTCATCTCAGACGAGCGCCAGCGTCGTCCCTCATCTCAGACGAGCGCCCAGTGTCGTCCCTCATCTCAGACGAGCGCCCAGCGTCGTCCCTCATCTCAGACGAGCGCCCAGCGCCGTCCCTCATCTCAGACGAGCGCACAGCACCGTCCCTCATCTCAGACGAGCGCCCAGCGCCGTCCCTCATCTCAGACGAGCGCCCAGCGCCGTCCCTCATCTCAGACGAGCGCCCAGCGTTGTCCCTCATCTCAGACGAGCACCAAGCGTCGTCCCTCATCTTCAGACGAGTGTCCAAGCCTAGTCCATCATCGGATCAATTCCGCCGTCCTTCATGTTTAGTCTGGCATCATCAACTTATTCTTCATCACATCACGACCAGTCCCTCAGCCTCAGCGTGATTATCTATCTCAAGACCGGCTTCCTCAGCACCAAGAGTCTTGAGCCACCGATCGGGATCGACATCCCTTCCCGGATGGTGACTATCGCCTCTGTATGATGGTCAGCTCATCATCGCCCGTCATCATATTATTGGACCGGCTCCTCATCACCATCGTCCTCACATCACGACCAGCCCCTCGGCTATGGCATGATGCTCTATCTTAAGACCGGTCTTAGCCGTTCCTTCACCAGACGGCTACCGTTGCATGGATTATAGGACCGGCTCCTCATCATCGTCGTTCTCAAATCACGCCCGGCCCCTCAGTGTCGGCGTGATTATCTATCTCAAGACCGGCTTCCTCAACGTCGAGAATCTTGAGCAAGCAATTATATAGTCCCCTTATAAGTCCATCCCATTTGTACGTGTTCCGGGTTTTTTAAGCCTTTTACTATTTAGTGATCTCACACTGGTTGCATTTTGGAACTGCTGGGAAATTAAAATAAAGAGAACATTGCTACACCTTGTTTTAAAACAAATGAAAATTCAATTATTCAAACAGACATGACAGACACAAAGGAAGACAGACAGAGACGAAACACAAAGTTAAAGAGCAGTTCAGAAACCCCCACGGAGACGAAGGACAAGGTGCAGAGTGGACTCCTTCTGAATGTTATAGTCGGCCAAGGTCCTGCCATCTTCCAGCTGCTTACCAGCAAAGATCAACCTCTGCTGATCTGGTGGAATCCCCTCCTTGTCTTGAATCTTTGTCTTCACATTATCGATCGTGTCCGAGCTTTCCACCTCCAGGGTGATTGTCTTTCCGGTCAGGGTTTTCACAAAGATCTGCATACCACCCCTGAGCCGGAGGACCAAGTGAAGAGTGGACTCCTTCTGTATGTTGTAGTCGGCAAGAGTACGGCCATCCTCAAGCTGCTTTCCGGCGAAGATTAGTCTCTGCTGGTCTGGGGGGATTCCTTCCTTATCCTGGATCTTAGTCTTCACGTTATCGATGGTATCAGAACTTTCAACCTCCAGGGTTATGGTCTTCCCGGTGAGGGTTTTGACAAAGATCTGCATACCTCCCCTCAATCGGAGAACCAAATGGAGAGTAGATTCCTTCTGGATGTTGTAGTCCGCAAGGGTGCGGCCGTCCTCAAGCTGCTTCCCGGCGAAGATCAGCCTCTGCTGGTCGGGAGGGATCCCTTCCTTGTCCTGGATCTTAGTCTTCACGTTGTCTATGGTGTCAGAGCTCTCCACCTCTAGGGTTATGGTTTTGCCGGTGAGGGTTTTCACGAAGATCTGCATCCCTCCCCTCAATCGGAGCACCAGATGGAGGGTCGACTCCTTCTGAATATTGTAATCGGCGAGGGTGCGGCCGTCCTCTAACTGCTTGCCGGCGAAGATCAGCCTCTGCTGGTCCGGCGGGATCCCCTCCTTGTCCTGGATCTTGGTCTTGACGTTGTCGATCGTGTCGGAGCTCTCGACTTCGAGAGTGATCGTCTTGCCGGTGAGGGTTTTCACGAAGATCTGCATCTGCGGAAATCAAAAGAAACAATGATGAAATAAACACCCGATCATCGTCTCAGAGAAATAATTCAAATTAAAGATCAGAAACTAGATAAAAACCGCAAATTAGATAATCGAAACAAGAATCGCTACGTACCTTTAGAGAAGAGGAATTGAAATTTGATATTTGCCGAAGAAGATGAGAGATTATAGAGAGATAAATCAGATGATGAGGAAATTGTGGGTAGGGGTGGGACTTTAAATAGGAAAAGTTTGGCCGACTTACGACGAAACTGCTCCTTATAACCTACAGATTGACGACACGTGTACGTCTATCAATTGAGCGTACAGAGACGGGAAGTCGGTTTTGATTCGTTCCTTTCCAGTGGCAGAGAGTTTACGTTGGTAGACTTTTCCTCTTTGACGGTAAATTATTGTACGAACAATAAATCAAACAATTAGAAAACGACATTATTGTTGTAAAATCCTGGAAATGACAAGTGTGAATTGTTCATCCTTGTCATCAATCCAGAAAATTATGTTTAATCCTTGTAACCTAGTTAGAACAGATGGCTCAAATTGTTATTGCCACCAAATCTGTATATTCATCCCTTAAGTAACTAATCATCAAGTTCAAACAGTATAAATAGGAGCTTGATGAGGCATTGTAAATTCATTCAGAAATTCAGAACTTCTCAGATATTAAGAAGAAGATATTTAGAGCTTTTATTAATTTATCTATCTCTCAAGTTTAGTCTTCATCTTCTTCATTTTACAACACGTTATCAGCACGAATCTGCTCAAAAGTCTTCCAGAAATCATCATCTCTTGCAGGTATTAAGATTAGTATCTACTATCTTGTTTCAGTATTCAAACCTGAAAATTATTCTGCCTTTTTAAATAAAGTTTCTATGATATACGAAGAGAAAATATAGATAAACATACCTTCAAAATGTATCTTGATAAATCCTTCGTAAATCAGTAAAGAAGAACACCGACTTAGAAATATGAAAGAAGATAGTGGGTATAACATGTAGAAATACACTCGGTGGATGTCTAGAATCTAAACCAGTAACTAATACTGAGTACTACGCACCGCAACAACGAATCTAATAAGTCTGTTCTGATGCTCATATTTAAATACTCTTTAAAGAAGTAGGATAGTCACGGGTTCTGTATTTTATTACTAACATGCATGGATTATGTATATCTTTTTATTGTCTTTTTGTATCACATGCATACATTTACTGTTAAAAATAAAATAAAATAAAAAAGGAAGAAGCAAGGAGGCTCCGCAGGTGGCTTTGCAGAATTGATCAGAGGCTTCTGAACGTTATATCTAAAACCAAAGTAATGTCAGATCAGTAATCCATTTTAAATAAATTTTTATGGTTAGACATAGACTATTTTTTTTTTGTTACTCCGTATTTATTAATAATCGTCAATGATAAGCTTCAAACCTAGTACTGCCACATGTCTTTTTTGTGTACGTATACAAATCTATAACGTAAATCTTAAAACAAAAGAAAATAATCAAACATCAATAGTTGATAAACTATATAATTAGTATACTCTTTATATAAGATTTATTTCAACATATTTTAAATTACTTATAGAGTGGTAAGTATCTTCTTATGTAAATATACACTTTACTGATTAGACCGATTGTAATAATTCCTTGTAGTATTATGGCCAACATTAGCAAACGAGAATTCGACGTACTTGATCTGTCCGGTCAAAAATATCTTGAATGGAAAGTGGATGCCTTGGCACATTTAAAAGCAAATGGATTGGAAGACACCATTGAAGCCAATAATATGTCATCTTCGCAAGACAAAGCGAAAGCTATAATTTTCATCCGTCACCACCTCCATGAAAGTCTCAAATCTGAATATCTTTTGGTTGATGATCCAAAAGAATTATGGGACAATTTACAAGAGAGGTATGGCCACCAACAAAAGGTACTTTTACCAAAAGCTCAGTATGACTGGATCAATTTAAGATTCCAGGACTTTAAATCTATCAGTGACTATAATTCTGTTATGTTCCAAATAACATCCAAATTAAAGTTATGTGGACAAAAAGTCACTGACGCTGATATGTTGGAGAAAACCTTTTCTACTATGCATATCTCTAATATGCTGCTACAACAGCAATATAGAGAAAAGGGTTTTAAAAAATACTCTGACTTAATATCAGTATTATTGGTAGCTGAGCAAAACAATGACCTTTTGATGAAAAACCACAATTTGAGACCCACCGGTTTTAGTCCTTCGATTTATGGTCCATCTGGCCATAATTTAGCCACTGAATCAAATGCAACACACAGTGGCAGTAGAAGGCATTTTAAACGTGGGCATTTTAGTGGTCATAATAACAAGTCTTACAGAGGATATAAACGGGTCGAAAGATCGAATTACAAGGGCAAGGGCAAACAAAAAGCTCATCAAATAAATCGCCCTACAAAAACCTCGGTAAAGACGACTTGTTATAAATGTGGCATGACGGGGCACTGGGCTAATAAATGTCGCACTGCGAAACATCTGGTGGAGTTATTTCAAGCTTCCATGAATTTAAACAAAGGCAAAAATATGGAAGTTAATTATGTCAATGACACAACTCCACCTCTGCCAAAATTTGATGTGTCCAACTTTTTCGCGGATGATGCCATTATGGACGATGCTTTTGCTATAAACCAAAATGTTACTAAATAAAATAGTAGACTCCTGATATTGTACAATACTAGTTTTATGTACTTTTTCTTTCTTCCCCTTTTTATTTTGTTTTTGTATGTACTCTTATGTTAAATAAAATGCATAATTTGTGATCAAGCTAATGTTTATTTATATATATTGAAGATATGGATCATTCAAATGATAAAGAGCTATGTCTGATAGACAGTGCCACAACGCACACCATTTTGAGAAATAAAATATATTTTTCTCAAATGACTTTAGTTGAAGCTGAAGTCAATACAATATCAGGTGTTGCGAAGCTCATTGAAGGCTCTGGGAAAGCATACGTGATGCTACCTAATGGGACAAAAATAATTATAAATGACGCTTTATACTCCAGCAAATCGCGGAGAAATTTATTGAGTTTTAAAGATATGCGTCAAAATGGTTATCACATAGAAACCATGAATGAAAACCAAAAGGAATATCTTTGTCTCACGACAATTAAATCTGACGCTAAATATTTTTGTGAAAAAATGCCAGCATATTCCTCAGGACTATATTTCACATATATTAGTCCATTCGAAATAAATTTGGTTCCTAACACAAAGTTAGATGATCGGAAAACATTCATGTTGTGGCATGACCGTTTAGGTCACCCAGGCCAAGTAATGATACATAAAATCATTAAGACTTCACTTGGACACCCATTAAAGAATATCAGGGTTCCAGTATCAAGTGATTTTCCTTGTAAGGCCTGTTCTCTTGGCAAAATGATCATCAGGCCTTCAATGAACAAAATTGCAACTGAATCATCTGCATTTTTAGAAAGGATTCAAGGAGATATTTGTGGGCCGATAGCCCCACCATGTGGACCATTTCGATATTTTATGGTGTTGATTGATGCTTCAACACGTTGGTCACATGTTAGTCTATTATCGACTAGAAATTTAGCATTTGCTAAACTCCTTGCTCAAATCATACGATTAAGAGCTCATTTTCCGGATCATTCTATAAAGAGAATCCGACTTGACAATGCAGGAGAATTTACATCTCAATCATTTAACGACTATTGTATGTCGATTGGGATTGATGTGGAGCATCCTGTTGCTCATGTCCATACACAAAATGGTCTTGCTGAATCTTTGATTAAACGATTACAATTAATCGGTAGACCATTATTAATGAAGTGTAATTTACCTTCATCAGCTTGGGGGCATGCTATTTTACATGCAGCAAATTTAATTCGGCTTAGACCGACTGCATATCATGAATATTCTCCAATGCAATTAGTTACTGGACAAGAGCCAAACTTAGCACACATTAAAATATTTGATTGTGTTGTTTATGCTCCGATTGCTCCACCTTATCGTACAAAAATGGGTCCTCAAAGAAGGTTGGGAATTTATGTCGGATTTGAATCTCCCTCAATAATCAAATATCTTGAACCGATGACTGGTGACTTATTCACCGCACGGTTCGCTGACTGTCATTTCAATGAGACAGTATTCCCAACCTTAGGGGGAGAAACTAATAAATCGGACCCAAGTACGAAAGAAATAACATGGAATGCAACAGGATTATCACATCTTGACTCAAAATCAAATATATGTGAGCCAGAGGTGCAAAAGATAATCCATTTGCAAAATGTTGCAAATCAGTTGCCTGATGCATTCACAGACACAAAGAAAGTGACAAAGTCACATATTCCTGCCATGAATGCCCCTGCCAGAATCGAAATCCCAACAGAGAATTCTGAAAAATCTTTTGCAAACGATTCTTCTATACGCAAAAAGCGTGGCAGGCCACTTGGATCGAAAGATATAAAACCAAGAAAAACTAAAAGGCAGGAATCGATCTGTGATGCCAAAGATGTTCATCCTTCTGAACAAGAAAATGAACAATTTGAAAATATTGGCATAGAAAATGATATTGACAAAACAAATATCTCAAATAATGATCCAACTTCCTTAAATGAGGAAGATATTCCAGATAATGATAGAAACGTTGATAATTATGAAATTTCAATAAACTACGTTTCTACTGGAATGCAATGGAATCGTAAAGATATTGATATTAATGAGATATTTGTCTATGCCGTTGCCACAAATTTTATGAATGAAAACAATGACAATGAGCCAACATCAATAGAAGAATGTCGGAAACGACACGATTGGCAAAAATGGAATGAAGCAATTCAGGCTGAATTGAAATCACTTGAAAAACGTGATGTTTTTGGACCGATAGTCCCTACGCCAAAAGGCGTAAAACCAGTAGGCTTTAAATGAGTATTTGTGCGTAAACGCAATGAGAAAAATGAAATTGTAAGATATAAAGCCCGACTTGTTGCCCAAGGGTTTTCTCAAATGCCGGGAATTGATTATGAAGAAACCTATTCTCCAGTAGTTGATGCAACTACATTAAGGTTTCTCATTGGCATGTCTGTTTTTGAAAGGCTGCAAATGCGCCTAATGGATGTAGTAACTGCATATTTATACGGTTCACTCGATACAGACATTTATATGAAAGTTCCCGGAGGATTTAAAATGCCTGAAGCTTATAGCTCGAAACCTCGAGAAATGTTTTTCAT